TCTAGTTGTCCTTACCTTGGGGACAAGGGCACTTCTCCTGGGCTGGAGTGCAAGGTCTAGTTTTGTCTCTTCCAACAAATGGAGGGGACCAGCAGTTAGCGTAATGGCTATGTCGCTGGACTCCCACGTAGTCGACTGCGGTTCGTGTCCCGGATGGAGGAGAAGGGATTGCAGCGTGGCCATCCTCCCTGGGGGGTGATGTCTCACTTTCTGTCTCTTTCTGGCAAGCACACGCACCCTATAGCAAAAATCTCTCCAAAAAAAAAAAAAAATTAAAGGTTCAGGCTAAAATAAAAACCTTTGCCTTTATTTTGCAAACCATTCTTGCCTGAAATCCTAAATAAAGCTTAAAAAGTGCATATAGCATCGTGGGATGACAGACAACTGTTAATAGTCTGGGTCAAACACTAGTCAACGCTTTTGAGAAAAGTCAGCGTCTCTAGCTCATCTTTTCACCTCTCTGTCAAGCAGCGGCCAGGCTCACTGGTAGCTGAACAACATGGTGCTTTATGTAAAATTAACAGAAGCTGAAGTTGTACTTCCGCGTGTGTCGAATATGTATCTGCACATGTACAGACAGTACTGTGGGATGCACACATCAGCAGTTAACAACAATCACTTCTGGAGAAAGAAATGGGACGAGAAAGGAGAGCAGTTTGTTTGTTTTACTGACAGAGAAGCATGAGAGACAGTCTCCTCACACTGCAATCCCTTCCCCCAGCCCTCCAGCTCCTCAGGATCCTGGGTAGCCATGTATGTACCCAGTATATTTCCAGGCTGATGCAGGGATCTAGACCCATGGTCGGCACTACGGCATCCCCAATCTTACAAGGCACCAACATTAAGGCTGTACCACAGCAGCAGCTGGGCTTAGCTTTTTTCTTTTTTTAGAGTTTCACAACGATGCCCACACAGGCTGTGAACTCACTATCCTCTGGCTTCAGCCTTCCAAGCAGCTGGAACTATAGGTGTACACCACTATGCTGGGCTTTTGAGTGGACCAGAAACAAACCAAGGCCTTCCATGTGGCCTCAGCCTGATAGCTAGCAGTGTTTTTTAGCTTTATACTGCTTGAATTTATTATAATTTTTTTTATTTGCCAGAGAGTGCATACATTTGCCAGAGATACAAACAGACAGAAAAGGAAAGGGGACCAGCAGTTGGCATAATGGCTATGTCGCTGGACTCCCATGTAGTCGACTGCGGTTCGAGTCCCGGACCCAGTGGCTTAAACTCACGCAGGGAACGTGTACATGCGTGCCCAAGATCTTGAAAGGAGAATGGAGGAGAAGGGACTGCGGCATGGCCATCCCCCCAGGGGTGATTTCTCACTTTCTGTCTCTATCTTTCTAGTGAGAATCCATGCCCTATAGCAAAAAACTGTCCAACAAAAAGAAAAGGAAAGAAAGAAAAGCACCACCTGATGGGGTGTGGTCAGGTCATAAGCCCTTCTCTATTTCTCCATCTTGCTGAGATTTGGGGCATGCTTGCACACATGCACACATACCCAGTGTTCTTTTCAAGCCACCAGGGCTGGGATTTTAACTACATAGTCAGCCAAAGGGGAACCACTTCCCTTACCTACTTGATCATGGAGTCAGCCTTGAATTTCTTTTGAGAGATACAGACATGCCCTATGAGTGTAATTTTTTTAAGTTTATTTTTATTCACAGTAGAGAGCATGTACATATGAATGAGAGAGAGAGAGAGACAGGCACCCTCGATAGGATCTCTTCACACTGTGTCCCCTTTCCCTCAGCCTTCTAGTTCTTCAGGACCTTGGACATGCATGCACACACTCAGCATGTTTCAGGTCCACCAGGCTGGGGATCTGAACCATGGTCAGTCACGTGGCTTCTAACACAGCAATTCAGTACACGACTAGCTGGGTCTATGAGTATGTTAAAGAGAGTGGGAAATACCTTAAACCATGACAAGCCATTTTACAAACGCTTTAAAATGATCATCTGTCTGGGTAGAAAATATGATTACAGAAATAATCAGAAATTATAGGGGCCAGCTGGTGGCATGGTGGTTGAGGGCACTGGACTCCCAACTCCCACATGGCCGACCACGGTTTGAGTCCTGGACCTAGTGGCTTGCTTTCTCACTCTCCTTCTCTCTCCTTTCACTCAGTCCCTCTCTGGTCAAATCAAAATAAATAAATAAATAAATAAATAAAAATAAAATAATTCTTTTAAAAAAATAAAAGAATCAGAAATTATAAATTTCTCAAATAGAATCAAAAGAGAATGATCGAAAGAGGTTATTAATACATTTTTAACAAAAAACACGTGTAACAAACTACATCCATGGACCAACTCTGGCCCACAGAATAGATATAGATCCACAGGTGAAATTAGTCTTTACATTTTCAAGAGTTGTTAAAAAGAATAAAGAAAAAGCATGTGACAACAACCACAAGTGGCTTGAGAAGCTTAAAATGCTCCTATATGCCCTTTACAGAGTAAGTTAGATAATCCCTGATTTATACCAATGGTGCTGTGTCTCTTAAAAAATAATGCTAAGTTCTTCTTGGAAATCCCGTCAAAATCAGTTAATAGGGAACCAACAGTTAGCATAATGGCTATGTCGCTGGACTCCCACATAGTCGACCGCGGTTCGTGTCCCGGACCCAGTGGCTTAAAACTCACGCCGGGCGCGTGTGCGTGCGTGCCCAAGATCCCGAGAGGAGAATGGAGGAGAAGGGATTGCGGCGTGACCATCCCCCCTGGGGGGTGATTTCTCACTTTCTGTCTCTGTCTGTCTCTGTCTGTCTGGCGAGCGCACGCGCCCTATAGCGAAAACCTCTCCCAAAAAAAAAAAAATCAGTTGATAAAAAAATAAAAATTAGTTGTAATACTTAATAGTCTAGCTTTTTAAAACATATACAAATACTCTAAACAGTGGGACCAGCAGATGGCATAATGATTATGTCACTGGACTTCCACATATTCAACAGCAGCTTGAGTCCCAGATCTGGCAGCTTAAGACTCATGCTGGGCACATGCGTGCCCAAAATCCTGAGAGGAGAATGGAGGAGAAGGGATTGCAGCATGGTCATCCCCCCTGGGGAGTGATTTTTCACTTTCTGTCTCTGTCTCTCCAGCAAGGGCATACACCCTATAGCAAAAATCTCCCAAAAAAAAAGAAAAGAAAAACTCATGCCAAGTGTATGTGTGTGGATGCTCAAAGTCCCAAGAGGAGAATGGAAGAGAAGAGACTGCAGTGTAGCCATCCCTCCTGGGGGGTGATTTCTTGTTTTCTGTCTCTGTCTCTACCACGAGCACATGCACCCTATAGCAAAAATCTCTCAAAACAAACAAACAAACAAATAAATAAACAAGTAAATATACAAGTAGTATTAGTTTATTCAACCACCTCAGTCACTAGGTCTGGTCAAACGACGGGTGATTTCAGCACCAGGATGGGAAAAGAAACATTTTTCCTCCCAGCACCTCGCATTCAGAAACTTAACCAGGAAATATAAGGAGGGACACATAGATAAAAAAATTTTCAGGGGGCCCAAAGGTGGTGCACCAGTAAAATGAGATGTTCTTTGAGGCCTATTAACATGGGAAGGTTCCAGGTTTGCACCCAGAGTCCTCCCTGAGTACACTGGGCACAAGAGCCCATGATCCTGTGTGACTGAAGCTGGCAGGGGATCATAGCATCAAGCTCTTGTTGGAGGTCCTATCTCTCCCTCTCCTCCCGCCCCCCATCTTATCTCTCTCTCAAGGAAGAAATACATAAGTCTGAAAAAACAATCCCAGGGACCAGTAGGTGGTGGTTAAGGTGCTGGACACTCACACATGGCTGACCACAGTTTGAGTCCCAGACTCGGCAGCTCGCTCTCTCACTCCCACCCCCAGACAAATGAAAATAAATGAATTAATAAATAAAGTTAAATAAATAATAATAATAAACACAATCCCAGATTAACTCTCTGAGCAGCTAAAAATAATTTTTTTTTTTGGAGAGGTTTTTGCCATAGGGCACATGCGCTCACCAGCCAGACAGAGAGAGACAGAGAGACAGAAAGCAAGAAATCACCCCCCGGGGGGATGGCCATACCACAATCCCTTCTCCTCCATTCTCCTCTCGGGATCTTGGGCACGCACGTACACGCGCCCAGCGTGAGATTTAAGCCACCGGGTCCAGGACGCGAACCATGGTCGACTATGTGGGAGTCCAGCGACATAGCCATTACGCTAACTGCTGGTCCCTAAAAATAATTTTTTAAAAGAGATTTTTGCTATAGGGCATGTATATTCACCGGGGAGACAGGAAGAGACAGAGAAAGGATAGAGAGGTGTTTTGGACAAGGTTCTGTTGTTGAGATCCTCTGCCCTCGTTTCCTATCCTAGTTAGTTAGGTTACAGGCACATATCAGTGCACCCTGCCTATTGAGGCTGGTCTCAGATCTAAACCTGGGCCTCCCATGTGACCCCAGTCTCAGCCAGTAGTGCCTTACCATTTATGTCACTGGGACTAGGCCAGATCCTTAAGATTATTTTTAGTGGGATCGGCAGACGGTGTTACATTGCTGGACTCCTACATAGGGTCTGGGACTTGAACCACGGACAACTGCATGGGAGTCCAGCAACAAAGTCATTACGTCAACTGCTAGTCCCCCAATTTTTTTTTACTAAGAGAGAATAACAACTCCTAAGAGAACAAAGGCTACCTTTATTGGGGCTGGCAGGTGGCATGGTAGTTAAGGGCACTGGACTCCCACATGGCTGACTGCAGTTCAAGTCCCAGACTTAGCACCTTGCTTTCTCACTTTTCCTTGTGTGCTCTCTCTCTCTCTCTCTCTCTCCCCTTCTCTCTCACACATGCTCTGGTCAAATTTAAATAAATAAATAAATGTTAAACAAAGTAATTCTTAAAAAAATAGTAAATAAAGGCTACCAGTACTACAGTAGGAAAACTAAGAATATCATCATTTCCTCTGGACTACATTTTCCTACCCAGGTATGACACAGAACATACTCTACCTCAATGTCTTGGAGACTGAATTCCTTCTGATCTGTAAAGTTGGCGGCCCCGGCACTGAGTTCCATGAGCATCTTGGCAATCTCGGGCTTTATGGCCGAGGTCAGCCGACTGGCTGCTTCCATGACGTGCTCCTGCACGTCTTTGAGCTGCATGGCCGCCTTTGAGTAGTGAGAGTTCCTGAACACAGTGCTGAAGAGGTCTGTGAGGAAAGTACTGGCACGGCAGAAGACGTTGAGGGCGTCTAGGTACTTAGAGATGCCCTGCTGGATGTCGGCAATGGGGGTGGAGTGGGGCATGGCGTGGTGGCAGCTGCCTGCAGCAGTCAGACTGCCCAGGGGGGCAGTGGAGGCCGTAGATGCCAAGGGAGCGCTCAGTGTTCGGCCCAGCTCAGGCATTGGGTACTGCTGGTGCTGCTGCACCTTCTGCTTGGACCCGCCAAGCAGGAAGCGCCGCTTATAGTCCATCTTACTGTCCTGGGCACTGCAGCAATACATGCGGGAGGGGGAATCGTCCCAGCGACCGTGAGCAGGTCAGGGTTCTGCCTCTTTGTTTCTTCAAAACCGTAGCTAGGTATAAAAATACTGGAGTTCTGCAAATCTATGTTTTAAAAAAGGCATCTCCATGAGGCAGGTGACCGTGTAATCCAATGAAGATGTGAGACTAGGACAATAGGTTTATATCATGAATATTTTCTGTATAGGCAGGACCTCTGATGAAAAATAAAAGTACGTCCAAAATGCTAGATAAGAACTGTTTAGCATTCCACTCTCTTAATAAAAAGATATGCTTGCGGAGAAAAATGTTTACTTAAAATTGCTTTGCAAGAATATTTTGATACTGTATTTACAATGGCAAAAAAATAACTTAACTTTTAAAAATGTAATATAATGTATCTTCAATATACCAAAAAAGAACCCAAAGACCCACAAGCTGATCAACAGCAATTTAAAAAGCAGTACAGATAAACTTCACTCTAAGGCCTTAAGAAAGAAGGTCAAACCTCTGCAGAATTTTGACAGAACCTGCCTGTCAAATACATTTTACCTGTTAAATTTCGCCTCAGTGCTAAAAATTTTCAAATCTCCTCAATGTTTTCTGGAAATGAGTTTGTTTGTTTTTTAAAAATGGCATTTGTCGTTGTAAGTCTTCTCCTCCTTTCCTTTTGTTTGCTGAGGTAGCGGTTTCCTTGTAACATTAATAAGAGGTGCTTCCAGACTGGATTGGCTCTCAATTGTAAAGTCTGAAGCAAGAATGCACAGATGTATTTGTAAGGCCTCTAAGTCATTTCCTGTAAGGGGGAAAAATAAAAAAGTTAGGAAGCCCATACAACAATGAGTAATTCTGGAACATTAACTCTTGAAATGCAATTATAGTGGGTTACAAAAAGACTTAGGTGGGTTACAAAGGAGTGAAATTTTAAAAATCCCATTATAACCTTACAGAAGCAGGTATAATAGTGAGCTGAACTACAAAAAGATGACTCTTAGAAACTTCCTCAAGTTGTAGTACAAAAACAATGCAATGAATGAAGTTTGATTCCACATCAACCACTTCAAAGCTAGTAAGGCACACTGACCTGGCCCTGCTCAGTGTTTGCCATTCCCCGTTTCCTCCTCAAAGAGCTTACGAATCTGCAAAAGAATTCGCTCAGTACTAGAGATTATGGTGACTGCTGCTGACAAGTTCAGGACTCAAGAAACTAAGGGGGATCAGCAAAAGGAGAGATGAACTAAGACTGAGAAATCAGGAAGGTTGTTAGGAAAAAAAAATATTTGGAAATAGGCCTTGGCTATAGGACAGGTTTCGATGAGTACAAGAGGGGGAGGCGCAGCTCAGTACGTGGAAACACAAGCTCTGCAAAGGCTATGAAGCAGGACAGCATGGAGTCTGAAGAGGCAAGTGGCCAGCAGTGTTTGGACAGGATTCTTCTTCAAGTTTCTTTTTTTACGTTTTTTAATTGCTAGAGGGCATAGGCACTCCAGAAAGACAGACAGGGAGAGAGAGAAAGCATCCTCCAGTGGAGTGTGATCATGCTGTAATTCTTTCTCCATCCTGTCAGGATTTGGGGTATCTAAATACTCGTGCTTATATGCCAAAAATTCCAAGAGAATGGAGGAGAAGGGACCACAGCATGGCCACAACCCCTAGAGAGCGATTTCTCACTTTCCCTCTCTAACTCTGTCTCTCTCCATTGAGTACATACACCCTATAGAAAGGTTTTGAGAGGTTTTTGCTATAGGGCGCATGCACTTGCCAGACAGACAGAGACAGTGACAGAAAGCAAGAAATCACTCCCCAGGGGGGATGGCCACACTGCAATCCCTTCTCCTCCATTCTCCTCTCGGGATTTTGGGCACGCACGCACATGAGCCCAGCAAGAGTTTTAAGTCACCGGGTCAGGGACTCGAATCACGGTCAACTACGTACCGACATAGCCATTACACTAACTGCTGGTCCCAATTTAAAAATTGTTTTAAAAAGAGTGCTATGGGTAGAAACACACGTAAATCCAACTTAAACAACCACTGTGTATGATTTTGTATTTAAGAGAATCTTGGTTCTTCGAAATAAAAATCTCTGGGCCAGTAGGTGGCATGGTGGTTAAGGTGCTAACTCCCACATGGCCGACTGTGTTCTGACTCCAGACCTTGTAGTTTGGCTTTTTCACCTTCTCTCTTTCTCTGTCTCTGGTGACTGCACATGCCCTAGAGTAAATTATTTTTTTAGGGCCAGCAGGTGGCATGGAGGTTAAGGGCACTAGACTCCCAAATGGCTGACCTCAGTGGGAGTCCCGGACCTATCACTTTCTTTCTCTCTCACTCTCTCTCTCTCTCTCTCTGTGTGTGTGTGTGTGTGTGTGTGTGTGTGTGTGTGTGTGTGTCCCTCTCTGGTCAAACGAAAATAAATAAATAAAGTTAAATAAAATAAAATTCTTAAAAAATTATATTTAAAAAAAATTAAACAAAGAATAATAATCTCCTATAACTTTTCAGGAAAGAAACAACAAATAGCTTCCTAAGAAATCTGTTCCCAAATGTTCTCTGTTCAAATTCCTGGCAGTGAGGTCTCATATGTATCCCTACCTCCATTATAATCAATGTGGCTCTAGCAATTCCTATGTGCAACACACACACCAATCGCGAGTACTGAAAGTGGGTAGGCTGTTCACCTGGAAACTGGTCTGTGAAGGAAAATGGCTTGAGCTGGCCACAGTGTCTTGAGCAGCCCTGCAGCACACTCTTTATTGACCGAGTGATGCACCAATTTCCTACATTCTGGGTACCCTCTACCATTGCTGCCTCTGGCTCTGGGAGAGCCCATCCCCATTCTTCTGTGAGAGAAACCTAGAGGGTCTTGAGAAACCCACATACTTACCTAAATTGTTTTTCACTACATGTTTCCCAAGTTTATACAAATAAAACCAGCAGTGTTTTAGAAAAACATACTATTTGGGGCCAGCCTCATAACCGAATGGAAAAAGGAATTGGATCCAACATGGACAACCATAGTTCAAATTTCAGCCCCAATGGCTGGAAAAACACCAGATGCATTTTGTGCGCCCAAAATCCAGGATTGAGAAATGGAGAAGGGACTGCTCCCTGATCACAGTCCACTGGGAGATACTTTCTCCCTCTCTCTGGTGAGTGTATGTGCCCTCTGGCAAATTTTTTTTTTTTTTTAGTTTTGCTATAGGACACATGTGTTCACCAGAGAGAAACAGAGTAAGAGAGAAAGAAAAAGGGGAGAAAGTGAGAAATCATCCCCACTTGGGGTGATGGCCATACCGCAATCCCTTCTCCTTCATTCTCCTCTTAGGATTTTGAGCATAAATCCACATGTGCCCAGATTATTTTTTTATGCCACCGGGTCCAGGATTTGAACCATGAAGTCAGACATGTAGGATCCAGATGCCTTAACCAACACTGTGCTGTCTGCTAGCTGCTTCTACCAATTATTATTATTATTAATTTTGGAATTATTTATTCAATTTATCATTATTATTATTATTTCATTTGCTATAAGGCATATATGCTCACCAGAGAGAGAAAAAGAGATAGAGAGAGAAAGAGACAGAGAGAGAGAAAGTGAGAAAGCAAGCTGCCAAGTCTTGGACTCAAACTGTCACCAGCCATGTGGGAGTTCAGTGCCTTCACCACCACAACACCTGCTGGTCCCTCCTCTAGTAATTATTAAAACAAAACTATATGACGTAACTCATCTACAGATTCAACACAACCTCTATTAAAGTTTGAACTACATTTTTTACATAAATAGGCAGGCTGATCCTAAAATTTATATAGAAATGCAAGGATCTAGGATGGCCAAAACTAGAATTGCAAAATAAATGTTAGATGATTCATTCTTCATGTTTTCAAAATCTATGGTAAGGTTACAATAATCAAAGCAATGGAATACAGGCTTAAGAAAATAAATAAAAATCAATGGACTAGAACTGGAAGTCCAGAACTCAACTCATATATTTATCTATGGTCAACAGATTTTAGACAAGGAACCCAAAACCATCCAATAGGGAATTTTTGAACAGTCTTTTTAATAAATGGTGTTAAAACAACTAAATATCTACATGCAAAAGAAAAGTTTAGACCCCTACTTCCTATCATATATAAAAATTAAATCAAATACCTAAATGTAAGACATAAGACTGTAAAACGCCTAGAAGAAAACACAAGTGTAACTTTTTAATTTTTCTTTTTTTTTTTTTTTTTTAAGATATTTTTGCTATAAGGCACATGTGCTTGCCAGAGAGAAAAAGAGTGAGAAATCACCCACACACACACCCGGGTGTGATGGCCACTCTGCAATACCCCCCTCCTCCATTCTCTCAGGATTTTGGGCACACATATACACATGCCTGGCATGAGTTTCAAGCTTCCAGGTCTGGAACTCAAACCACGGTCAGCCATGTGTGAGTCCAGCGCATTAACCATTGCACCACCTGCTCGCCCCACAGCTGTAAATTTTGGTGAGCATGGATTAGACAGTGGTTTCCTAGGCATAACACCTAAAGCATAAACAATGAAAGAAATTTAAAAAGATAAACTGGATTTCATCAAAATTAAGAACATTTGTGCATCAAGTCATTAGCAAGAAGTTTAAGAGTGTTGGGAACAGGAGTTAGCGTAATGGCTATGTCACTGGACTCCCATGTAGTCGACCACAGTTCAAGTCCTAGACCTGGTGGCTTAAACTCACACCGGGCATGTGTGTATGCGTGTCCAACATTCCGAGAGGAGAATGGAGAAGGGATTGTGGCGTGGCCATTCCCCCAGATGGTGATTTCTCGCTTTCTGTCTCTCTCTGTCTTTCTGGCAAGCGCACATGCCCTATAGCAAAAACCTCTCCAAAAGGAAAAAAAAAAAAGTTTAAGAGTGCCAACCATGGGGCCAGCAGGTGGCACTGTGGTTAAGGCACAGGACTCCCACACAGTCGACCATGGTTTGCATCCCAGACCTGGTGGCTTGAAAATCACACCAGGTGTGTGCGCATGTGTGCCCAAAGTCCCAAGAGCAGAGTGGAGGAGAGGGGACTGCTGGATGGTCATTCACCCTGCATAGTGATTTCTCATTTTCCCTCTCTTTATCTCTCTTTGGAGAGCACATGTGCCCTACAACCAAAAAAAAAAAAAAAAAAAAAACACCACAGATTGGGCATATAGCAGTGATTGAGTACTGTGCAGAAGAAACCAGATCCCACATGGTCAACAAGCGTTCGAGTCTAGTTCAGGTACTTGAAAAACATACTAGGCAGACATGCACAGGATTATGCATGAGAAATAGGAGGAAAAAAAGATTATGGTATGACTAGACCTCACTGGAATGGTGCTTTCTCTCTCTCTCTTGTTCTCTCTTTCTCACATGTGCATGCATCCATGCCCAGTAGCAAAAAATAAAGTGAAAAGACAACCCACAGAACGGGCAAAAATATTTGAAAATCAGTCATACATCTGTCAAATGTCTAGCATTCCAGAATAAAGAAGTCTTAAAACCCAACACTGAAAAGAAAAACTCAATTAAAAGATGGGCACAGGAGGTACATTCATTAGTTTACTCCTTTCTTCCTATGGACACTGCCACGTAAGCATCATCTCTTCTCACTGCTATCATGTCTAAGTCAGAATCTCCTAAAGAGCCAGAACAGCTGCAGAAGCTCTTCATTAGAGGGTTGAGCTTTGAAAAAAAATTATGAAAAGCCATCCTGAAGAATGGGGAATGCTCACAACTGCGTGGTAATGTGAGATCGAAACACCAAGTACTCCAAGGGCTTTGGGTTTGTCACATATGCCACAGTGGAGGAAGAGGATGCAGCCATGAATGCTAGGCCACACAAGGTAGATGGAACCAAAGAAGGCTGTCTCAAGATTCTCAAAGTCCAGGTGCCCACTTAACTATGAAAAAGAGCTTTGTTGGTGGCATTAAAGAAGACACTGAAGAACATCACCTAAGAGATTATTTTGAACAGTAAACTGAAATCATGACCGGCCAAGGCAAGAAGAGGGGCTTTGGCTTTTCTAACCTTTGATGATCATGACTCTGTGGGTAAGACTGTCATTGAGAAATACCATACCATGAATGGCCACAATTGTAAAGTAAGGAAAGCCCTGTCCAAACAAGAGATGACGAGTGCATCCTCCAGCCCAAGAAGCTGAAGTGATTCTGGAAATTTTGGTGGTGGTCATGGTTTCAGTGGTAATGAGAACTTTGGTCATGGAGATGTCAGTGGTCATGATGGTTTTGTGGTAGCGACAATGGTGGTGGGTATGGTAGAAGTAGAGATGGTTATAATGGATTTCATAAGGATGGAAGCAATTTTAGAGGTAGTGGAAGATATGATTTTGACAATTATCGCAGTCATTCATCAAATTTTTGACTCATGAAGGGAAGAAACTCTGAAGGTTGAAGCTCTCTTAGAGCAGTGAAGGCTAATACTTTGCCAAACCAGGAGACCAAGGTAGCTAGGACAGTTCCAGCAGCAGCAGGAGGAGCTATCACAGTGGCAGGGTTTGGTATGGTTTTGAAGAATTATTTAACTAACTAACTTTCTCTTTCTCTTTCTCTCTCTCTCTCTCTCTCTCTCTGTTTCTTATTTTGATTTGACCACAGAGGGACAAAGTGAGTGAGAGAGATAGTGTGCGTGCATGCGTGCGCACAAGCCACCAGGTCCGGAACTCAAAACATGGTTGGCCATGTGGGAGTCCAGTCCCCTTAATCACCATACCACCTGCAGGCCCAGGCAGAAGGTTTTAATTACTGCCAGGAAACAAAGCTTAGCAGGAGAGGAGAGCCAGAGAAGAGTCAGGGAAGCTACAGATTAAAACAGATTTATGAACTCAGCCAAGCAAGCACAGTAGAGGTAGGGCCTACCTGTTACAAAGAAGACATGTTTTAGATAATACTCGTCTGCATGGGCAAACAACTTGAGGGCTATATTCATGACTAACTGTATAATAGCTTATTTTACTTTCTGTTCTGTGGAAAGTATAAAGCATTCCAATACAGGGCTTTAATGTAGATTGTTCTTTTGCACCTATGTTGTTGATTGCTAAATGTAATAGTGATACTGAATAAATGTGTCTTAAAAAAAAGATGGGCAAAGGATTTGAATGGACAATTCTCCAAATTTATATTGATGACAAATGGCCAAAGCAATGAAAAGAAGCTCAATGTTATTAATCATTAAGGAGGTACAAATCAAACCCACAATAAGATAGTAGAATGAGTACAATAAAAACATTGAAAAGCAAAACAAACCATAAGTGTTATGAGGATGTGGAGAAATTAGAAACCCTTACACATTGCTGATGGGACTGTAAATGATGCAGCCACTATGAAAAGCGGTTTGGTGGTTCCTCAAAATGTTAAACATAGTTGCATATAACCAAGCAATTGCACTTTAGAAAACAGAAAATAAATGCTCATATAAAAACTTGTACACTGTGCTCACTTTGGCAACACATATTCTAAAACTGGAACAATACAGAGATTAGCATGGCCCCTGCTCAAGGATGACAGGCAAGTTTTGTGAAGCATTCTATATTTAAATAAAACAAAAACAAAACCAAAAACTTTATACTTGGGGCCAGCAGGTGGCATGGTGGCTATAGTGTTAGAATCTTACATGGCCAACTATGGTTCAAGTCCCCAACCCAGCAGCTTGAAAATCACACCAGGACGTGAAATCCCAGAAGAATGGAGAGAGGATTGAGGCCTGGCCATCCCCCTTGGTGAGTGATATCTTCCCTTCCCTCTCTCTCTCTCTCATATAGTACATGCACCCTATGACAAACAAACAAACAAAATACATGTATACAAATATTCCTAACAGCATTGTTCTCAATAGTCAAAAAAGGCCAATCTATGACCAGGTGGTTAATGGAGCTGAATTATATATGGCTGACTAAATGATTTGGGTCCCAGAGCAGAGACTTGAAAATCATGTTGGGGATGTGTGTGTGCCTATCCAAAATTCCAAAAGAAGGGAGAAATGAAAAAGAAGTGGTTATGGAATGACCATTCCCCATGGTGTGTGTGTGTGTGTGGGGGGTGCTTGTCCCCTTTCTTTCTCTCTCTGGCAAGTCGATGTGCCCTCTGGCAAATTATTAAAAAAAAAAAAAAAAAAAGGCAGAAACAATCCAAGTGTCCACTGACTGATAAATGAATAAACAAAATACGGTACAACAAATAATGGAATATAATTCAACCATAAAAAGTAATTAAGAAACCAACTCCAAGGCTCAGCGGTAAGGCAGCCAGATTCCATATGGCCAATCGTATGGTTTGCATTCCAGTCCAGGTGGCTTGAAAAACATACTGGGTAGATTTTCAGATCTGTGGGTAGCTAAATAGGCTGGAGTGTTTACTTGGAGATAATACACCAAGCACTGTTATTGTAACCTGTACATTTTCCTATGTGTTATTCTTTAGGAGAAAAAGAAAAGAAAAAGAAAAAAAAAAAAAACTAGCACAGAAAGGAGGGAAATGTAGGTAAGGAAACTTCCATTCCAAGAATGAAAAGCAGGGGTGGGGACCAGCAGGTGGCGTGGTGGTTAAGGCACTGAACTCCCACATGGCCAACCACGGTTCGAGTTCCAGACCTGGTGGCTTGCTTTCTCACTTTCCCTCTCTCTTTCTCTCTGTGTCTCTCTCTGATCAAATTTTAAAAATTAAATGAATGAATAAGTAAAAAAAAATAAATAATTCTTAAAAAAAAAAAAAAAGAATGAAAAGCAGGGGCCAGAAGATGGCATAGTGGTTAAGGCGCTGGAGTTCCACATGGTCGACCGTAGTTTGAGCACCAGACCCAGCAGCTTAAAACTCACACTGAATATGTGTGTGTGCATACCTAAAATCCTGAGAGGAGAATGGAGGAGAAGGGAGTGTGGCCCAAGAGGAGAATGGAGGAGAAGGGATTACAGTGTGGCCCATCCCTTGAGGGGGGTGATTTCTCACTTTCTGTCACTCTCTCTCTCTGTGTGTCTCCGGTGAGCACATACACCCTATAATAAAAATCTAAAGCAAACAACAAAAAATCCAAAACAACCAAATAGAAATTCAGGAATTGAAAAATACAGTAACTGATATTTTTAAAAATCACAATGCTGCTAAATAATAGACTTGAATTTGAAGAGACATCAACTGAGATTATCCTGTCCAAGGAACAGGAAGAAAAAGGAACAGAGTCTCGGAGACCTATGGGAAACCATCAAGTATACCAGCATACATATGATGAGATTCCCAGAGGGGGAGACAAGAAAAACATAGAAAGAGTATTTTATGAAATAATAACTAAATACTCTCCACATTTGATGAAAATCATCAATCTACACATCTTAAGCTAAATGAATTCCAAATAGGATAAACTCAAAGATATCCGTACTTAAGATACATTATAAATCTGATTTAAAAAGTCAAAGACATATATAAGAAACAAGAAATGGAAAATTATTTGTTGACAATAACACATATGATAATATCTTTGATTAAGCCAATATACAGTGTATTCTGGATGGGAAATCTCATTTTGTATGCTGTGATGATGTACAGTGAATGAATGTAAAATAAATACATTTTTAAAAATTAAAGAAATAAAAAATAATTTTTTTTTTTTGGAGAGGTTTTTGCTATAGGGCACATGCGCTCGCCAGACAGACAGAGACAGAGAGACAGAAAGCAAGAAATCACCCCCAGTGGGCATTGCCATGCCGCAATCCCTTCTCCTCCATTCTCCTCTCAGGATCTTGGGCACGCATGCACACACGCCCGGCATGAGTTTTAAGCCACCGGGTCCAGTACTCGAACCGCGGTCGACTACGTGGGAGTCCAGTGACATAGCCATTACACTAACTACTGGTCCCAATAAATAAATTTTTTAAAGAATCAAAGACATAGAGGGGCTAGCAAGTGGTGTGGTGGTCAAGGCACTGAAGTCTCACGTGGTGAAAAGTGGTTTGAGTCCCAGATTGGCAGCTTCTAAATTAAGCCAGGTACATGTGCATGCTAAAAATCCTGAGAGGAGAATGGAGGAGAAGGGATTGCAGTGTGGCCATTCCCCATTCCAAGGGTGATTTCTCACTTTCCCTCTCTGTCTGTCTCTGGTGAGCACATGCATCTTGTGGGGGGACCTAAAAAAATTTTTTAAATGAATCTCAAAAGCAAGGAGAAATGATCCATCACATAAAACGGGTTTTCATTATTTACAGTAGTTACAAATACTGAATTAGTGAAAATGAACCATTACTCATAGAAGACATACAGAATACAGACATTCCTTTAAGACTCTGATCATAACATCTTCATCAAGCAATCAATACATAAGCTTACTTTACGTGTTTTTTGTTGAAATATATCTTACTTAATACGCAGTTGTCCCTTGAACACAAAAGATTTGAACTGTTCACATATACTTATATGTACATTTTTTAAAAGAATTATTTAACTTTATTTATTTTGCTTTAATTTGATCAGAGAGGGACAGAGTAAGTGAGTGGGGATAGGGAAGGCTGAGAAAGCAAGCTGCCAGGTCCAGGACTTGAATTGTGGTTGGCCATGTGGGAGTCCAGTGCCCTTAACCACCATGACATCTGCTGGCCCCTATGTACATTTGTTTTCAAGAAAAGTATTAGAGAGCTGGTTCCCTGGCCTGTTGGTTTAGGGTGTCAGATCTTACATTGCTGATCATGATGTTCAAATCCTGTCCCATGTTTTTATTTTATTTATTTAATTTGTTAAATAATTATTTATTTAATCTCATTTGTTATTATTATTCTTTTTCTCAATTTTACCAGAGACAGAGAGAGAGAGAGAGAAAGGGAAAGCAAGAAAGCAAGCTTCCAGGTCCAAGTCTTGAGCCGTGGATGGCCACATAGGAATCCATTGCCTCAACCACCACGTCACCTGTTGGTCCCTGGCCCTGGTGTCTTTAAAGTACATGCTAAGTGTGTGTGCAAGGGTATCCAAAATTCCGACAGGATGGAGAAATGGAGAAGGGACTGCAGGGTGACCACAACCCAGTATGGTCGCTTGCTTCCTTCCCTTTGGTCTCTACCTCTGGCAAGAGCAAGCACCCTCTGGCAAAAAATTAAAATAAATAAATAAATGGGAAAATAAAGTACAATACTGTAAACATATGTTCTCTTAGGATTTTCTTTATATAAATAATAAGTTATTTAATTAGGTGGTTCTTGGCAAAAAATCTAGAATACCAGTTTGTGAGGATAAACTCCATTTGTAAGGGCAAACACGGATCACAGGTAGCCCTGGAGCTGAGGAATAGCTTTGATTTTTGCTAAAATTTGCGAGTCCACAGCTTTCTGATCAATCTTGCACTGCTCTGAAATCTCATATTTCTCCTTCTCTGTGTCGAAGATCTCACCTTCTGGTGTCTGGGCTTCCGCAGTTTCTTTTTCTTGAAGTAAGCATCGGTAAGGTGCTTTGGGATTTTTACTTTGCTAATTTCAACTTTCGTGGAGGTGGCAATGACAAATTTCTGATGTGTTCTACGCAGTGGAACTTGATTGAGAACCAGCAGTCCAATTACAAGTAGCAAGCCACTGCTCAGCTGCTTCAGGAAAACCACTCTCTTGCTTCTGTGGGTCCAGTGAGGATGATCAGAATGGTCCCAGGAGTGACGCTAGTTCGCAGCTTTCTCACAGGTTGACTGAAGGGTTTTTTGCCATGTCTCAACAGCTTTCGAGGCACATCTTCAGTAAGATAATACCTAGGCATTTTGCGCAGTTTAACCACCTGGGTACCACTATTCTTGTCTCCACCAACTGGTTTTGTGACGGTTGTAAGAACCTTCTCCTTCTTTTTTTCTATCCCGGATTTAGTGGCAGAGTAATTCCTCTTGTACATGGCCTTCCTGGAATACATGGCAGACCAGGAGTATCTGCCGATGCCCCAGACTAGGACAGGGTTTCGGCTGCAATGGGGCTTCCTCTTCTTGGGCTTTTTAGCCTTGGGGTCACCCTTTTTAACCTTGCCACTGGCATCAGCCTTCTTGGCTTCAGGTTTCTTCTCCTTAGTATCCTGCTTTGCAGCTTTGTCACCTGCCATCTTGTATAGTGGGAAAGCAATGATTTTCTTTTTTAAAAAAAGAATTATTTTACTTAATTTTATTTATTCATTCCTTTATTTTGACCAGAGAGGGACACAGAGAGAGAGGGACGGAAAGTGAGAAAGCAAGCCACCAGGCCCAGGATTCGAACCATGGTTGGCCATGTGGGAGTGTCCACTGCCTTAATCACCACCTGCTGGTCCCATCTCATAAGATTGTAATAACACTTTTTTCTAGCTTACTTTACTTTAAGACTACAATATGTAACATAGATACAGAATGAGTATTAGTTAACTACATTATCTGTAAGACTTCTAGTCAACAGCAGGCTATCAGTAGTTAAGTGTGGAGGAGTCAAAAACTCTATGTGTAGGACCAGCAGGTGGTGTGATGGTTAAGGCAATGGACTCTCGCATGGCCCACCATGGTGAAGTCCTGGACCTGGTGGCCTGCTTTCTTACTTACTTTCTCTCTCTCTCTCTCTCT